TGCTGCCAATGCCTCGGAGGTGGTGAGGGCTTGTGGCCGTGGGTCCTCACGAGCCAAGCTAAACGTCACGCTTCTCAAATACCAGCCCCGAAGCCCCAGGCCCACCTGTCAGAGGCAGAAGAACACAGGACCTTTAAGAGGGCACCTGCTGGATTCCTCTGCACATGTACAGGCATCTCTGCCATGGAGGGCCTGGATGTCTACAGCATGGAATCCTGTCACCTTCATGTGACGCAAGTCTCCCCAAAGTTATTTGACCAGAGAACCCTCTGCTGACAAAGCTCCCCAGAACAAGCACGCCATGGAACAGACTGAGAAAAGCTGCCCTGAAGAACTGTGTCCCAATTTCATAAGGACCTTCTGATCCCAGAGCCTGGACCCAGCAACATGTCATGCAGAGGCCACCAGAGACACGCTGGGGGAGGGGACGAGAGTTTCTTCCTCCTACTCCAGTCCTCGGCCCCCACCAGCCCACAAGGAGGGAAAGGTACTCACTGCTTTGGGAGGCTCCCTCCCCTGAGGTGGCTTCGGTATCTGTAAGAGAGCGGGGAAGAGTTAGGTAAGCCAAGGATGGGCCGATGGCAGGACCAGGGCAAAGTGAGAGAGGAAGAGAGCGAACTCACAGGTGGGGCAGGGGCAGCTGGCAGTAAGCAGACCTGGGAAGATGCTGGGGACACAGTCTCACAGTCCTTCCAGGGGCCCCTAGTGTCAGCCAGGTCTTTGTCCCCGGCTGGCCAGGCTCAGGAAGGAGCAGGAGCCACGGTTTCGTCATCTTTGGGACGGGAAGTGGCCACAGGCCCCACTCCCGAGGCTGCCACAGGAGCACACGAGAGCCAGGAGCATGAGCCCAGCCCCAGGGGACGGTGCCTGTCCTGGGGCTCCCTCCCCCAGTGCTCGCCCACATCAGGGATGCTGCTCCTCTCCCCCCGGCTCCCTGTCAGGAAGAGGGACACTGGAGCATCCAGGGTCTCTGGGTCACCACGAGGGCCCAGGCGGGAAGCAGGCAGATAATGAAGACGTCCCCCCACCGACTCTCCCCAGGGACACCCACTCACCTCGGTGCGCCCGCACATGGGTCTGGAAACAGTTGTAGTATTTGTATTTCTTGCCACAGATTCCACACTCATAGGAGCCTGGAAAACAGGAGAGAAGAGGACAGGTCAGTCACACCTGAGGTCCGCGACCCCGGGCAAGGCCTCCGGGAACAGCAGACTGTCACGGGGCACGACGGTCACCGGAAAGCAAGGCGGTGGCCCTGAGCTGGCAGCCAGGAAGCCTGCCTCCAACTCTTTGGGTGATCTCAGGCCAGGCCCCCCGACCCTGAGGCCTCAGTTTCCGAATCTGTAAGACGGAGAAGGGAGCGTCTGCAGCTAGCTCTCGTACGAACACCTTGAGAAGAAAAAAGGGGTGAATGTCAACATGCTCTGGAGAGAGTGAACGCCTCCACGGGAGGAAACGACCACTGACGTGCATGACAGCATTTCCAGCCACTCCTTTTCCTTGCCAGGATGGGGCAGAGCTTAGAGGACAGACTTTGAAACAGATGTGCCTGGGTCTCTGTCCCTGTTCTGTCACTTACCAGCATGACCTTGGCCGTTTCCTTAGACACGCTACGTCTCAGTCAACTCGTCTGTAGAGTGGAGCCCGACGTGCCTGCCTCACAGGACTGACCTCGCTCTCCCCAGGAGGTGCCCAGGCCAGCTACTGACATGTGTGACAAGAGGACATCCCAACACCCGCAGAGGGGCTGTCCCATTCCCTGGCCGACATACAGAGACCAACACAGCGTTAACCCTGACTCCGGCCCCTGCCGTGCCCTTCTCCTGGGAACAGGTGGGCTGAGACGGCTGCACTCCCTGTGGGCGTTCAGACAGAGGAGCCCATCCGGCAGTGCACAGGGTGAGCGTCCACGGCAGGAAGCCAAGCAGAGCCCAGCAGACCCTGCCCACCCAGGCCCCCAGGGACAACAGTCTGCCCATCCCACCCACAAGAGCCCTCGTGCAGAACCTGGTGTCACCTGCGCCACACCTAAGAGGACACCAAGGGGCTTGTGCGGGTCCAGAGGCCATGGCTTCTCTTTAGGCTTAGGCTCTAGAGGGGCTGGGAACGGGGCCTAGAAATTGGCCTTTTCCAAAAAGGTCCTGGGAAATTCTGAGACTGAGCATCCAGGTGTTGGAACCACTGGCTTAGAATAAGCCCTGGGATGGAAGCCGGCTCTGCCACTGGCTGGACCCGTGTCCTTACTGGGGAAATGTGGGTGATAAGGAGTACTGCGTTGGGGACAGCGAGAGTGGGAACAGCATTCCCGGCACACTGGCGGACGCGCGGGGCTGCAAGGTCATTAACTTCAATTCTCTTTGGTCTCGCCTTGAAGCAGAGGCTCATTTACTGGGCGTGGACTTGAGGAGCCGATCGGCCAGTAGAGCGTGGACATGGAGCCTGACCGTCAGCTTGGCTGTGCGACCACAGACCCGTCCTTCTACCTGCTCGGGCCTTGGCTTTGTCAGCTGTAAAACAGGACTGTGACACCTGCATCTCAGGACTGGTGTCAGGATCAATGAGATACCACAGGCGGGTCGGCTGGCAAAGGAGGCAGTGACACTGTGGCTACACGTGGAGA